ACCTGTGGATTCCTGCTGTGAGAGTTTCCACTTCCTCCCTTGAAGTTCGGCAACACTGAAATGACACCTTTTAAGGCATCATTTCTGGCCCTTGGTTTGCTTCTCCCCTTTTCCCAATTGCTTTCCCAAATCGCATCATCGTGAGAACCCACAGAACAAGCAGAGTCTCTCGATACTCGGTATGGATCGCCATGAAAGTAGTTTTCAGCATGACATGACTTGGAAATACTGGCAGTTTTGTGGGAAAAGGAAAGAACACGAAGTTCATGGGACTCATGTGGAGAATAACTCAAGACTTTTTGCCTCTAAAACCAAAACATCAAGGAGCTACTTCTAAATATGGAAAGAAGTCAACATTTCACTAGCACAATTCTTCTTTCAGTGGGAACCCCAATAGCCAACCTAGATAACTGAAAAGAAACATTTAATTCAAAGTAGTTCAAATAGATCGTGATTACTACCGGGCTCTTCAGTTCTCCTAGCTAACATTAACAAAAGACACTTAACATGTCCTAAGTGTAAGTCTGATTGTATTCTTATGTTTGCATATGAATCCAACAGGCTATTAGACTGATTAACTTTATAAAACATAATGAATTTGTTCACCTGTAAGAAATGCACCAATTTCTGCAGTGACATACAAACATGCAAAAGACTGGCCGACCCAAAGCAAGAATGCGCCACTACTGCCAGATATTTTCTGTTTCTCTCCCCCTACCCCAGTCTCAAATTCTTCATATGCATCCAGTGGATTATTAGTCTCCATTTGCACTTCTTACATAATATAAAACTCACTGTTCAACTGGAGACACTCACTTCTGTATTTTATTGCATTTGATTACGATGAAAATGTCTCCTGGAGCTACCAGACTGAGGTAATTTAGAATAAATGTGCATGCCATATGGAAGGAATGACAATATTCTTTCAATTCTGAGAGGGATCTCTTTTTAGCCTCTGGTGGAAATCAGTTTATGTAAAATGCTTTCTTGGACAGAAGGTGTGGAAAGGATGCATCATACTGCCAGCTGCCAGCCAAATCTGTGGCTCAGCCACCAGGGTTTGCTCTACCTTCTTCTGGAAACAAGCACAACATAAGCCTGACTGATGACTCTGGTGGATGCATTCCACCACCTCTTGCCTTACCAGGGAAAATGCATCTCAGCTACTACGGTAACAGAGGAGCTGGAAACATACATGTTCTCAACATAAACAAGTTGTATAAAGCAAGACCTGACTCCTTTGTTGCTGCTGAATGAGATGAGAGTACAAAGAATGTCCATTGAAATCATGAGTAGAGTCATGAATGTTCTTTACATGTAGAGAGGAACAGAAACGTTCGTTTTCCTACAAAGAGACCAAGTCCAAGGGTTTTTCTACCACTTGCTTGAAGGCACTCTACTGGATTTGACTAGTCCCTCACAGAGCGCAGCCAATCAGCTGCCCAATCACATCTTTGCTCTCCACCTGCTTAGAGTACAGGGGAAGAGTTCCTTCCGGTTTGGACTGCCTGCTTCCTTGTCATCGCTGCTGCCACCTAGACCAGGTTGGTGGTCTCCTTACCTTATCCTATACTCTGGTTTCCTCCTGTGCTCCAAAGCCTTTCATCAGGGGCCAAAAAATGTTCCTAAGTGGTTTCACCTCAACAGTTCCTAACCTTATTTCTAATGTTCTAGTATCTGAACGAACTCCCAATTCTGTTTCCCCAACATGAGACCTTCAATAAAATACTTTAATGGGTGTTGTAAGTTGTTATTACATTGCCATTTATTCAATGAAAAAAAATTTTTTTTTACAGAGCTAACCTAAAATTGTTAATAACATCTCTCTCTCTCGTTAACTGTGTTGGTAATTTGGAAATGTGGCATCGGGACCCTACAAGTCCATGACTGCTTCTTCACATTGTGAACTTATACACGTTGATAAAACAGAAAACGGAGCAAGGAAGGGCACACATCATGATCTCTGAAGTATTATTTACACCCCTTAAAAAAAAAAAAAAAACTTCCAAGTAATCTGACCAGGTAACAGCCACCAGTATTTTCTAGATATAATTCAGTAGCAACTGGAAAATTGAGAACAGATAAGCAAGTTCACACATCCAACAACAGCTTTTCCTTGAAATCTTAAGTTCTTTGGCAGAACTCTATCTCAGAATAAGAGTTCATATGGTTCAACACATTTTGGAAATCAATTTTCTGACTTGTTTATAAAGTTAGAATTTTCCAAACAAATGCTCTTGAGTCTTGCTTTCTGACTTTATAATTAGTGTGCTAATCAGAAGAGGCCTCTGCGTTTATCAGAATTTATGCAAAGGCATTCACCCTGGCAGAACATAAACAGGAACTATGTATTCAAGAAATTTTATTTATAATTAACACCAGATTGAAATTCTTTCCATTAAAAAAATTTTCAAATCCATATTCCAAAACCCAGATTCTTAAGAGCAGAGATTCCTAACCTTTATTTAGGTAATAAAGAAGCCTTTTGAGAATTTAATTAAAGATAGGAATCATTTTTTTTTCTGTAGGAAAAATGCATATATCCATGATTTTGCATATACTGTGGCAGAGCTTAGCCCCTTGAAGTCCATCAAGGAATCTGTGGTTAGGAAGCCGGCAGCCAGTCTTAGGAAAGGATTGTGCTGTCTTACACTAGCCACCTTAGTTGCCATACAGCAGAGAATGAGTAGACCATAAGGGGTTCCTGACACTGCAGGGCTCACAAGGGAGTTGGGTCCACACAACTTCAAAGCCAAAACCTTCCCGCAGGCTTCCCAAGTAACCTAGCTCCTAAGGGTACAGAGTTCTATTCTGCAAAGTTCTCATAAGAACACAGATCAGACTGGCAGTATCTCCCATATCTCCCTTTGGTGGGTTAACTCATGCACAGCGCTGTTAGTACTCATAGCGATCGCTTTTTTGGAGGGCATTATTGTGCCAGGAGCTCCACCAGGCACTTGATACATTTTTACTTCATCTAACCGTGAGAATACCCCTACACTGGGATGTGTTACTACCTTCCCTTTACAGATGTTTAAGTACCTTCACTGAAGTCACATGCTTCAGTTACTCAGAGGAGGGCAAACACCCATCTGTAGGAGTCTGAAGCCAGTTTGTTCTTTGTTTTTTTGACATCTTTATTGGAGTGTGATTGCTTTACAATGGTGTGTTAGTTTCTGCTTTATAACAAAGTGAATCAGCTCTACATACACATATGTCCCCATATCTCCTCCCTCTGGCGTCTGCCTCCCACCCACCCTATCCCACCCCTCTAGGTGGTCACGAAGTACTGAAGCCAGTGTTTTTGAAGCAAAATACTTTATACAACTTGAAGTTACTATAAACCTAATTGGGCAGCATGACTATACAGAGGGCCAGTGTTTCTGACCCTGTGGCCAAGGGGCAGGAGTTTGACACCTCAGATTTGCCAGCCGACCGTGTTCTCTTCCGGGGCCAGCTCCTCATCGTGGCCTAATTCCGGCAAATATGTGAACAGGTGCATGCGCATGCAAGGATCCGTGCAAGCCCTCGTAGACCCCGGTCCTATTCTCTAGTGCAAGTGCGTTAAGACTCTGCTGGAAACTGACCAGAGCACCATACCGAGAAGAGCAATGTACTATCTCACAGTACATGGAGACATGACCTTTTAACAAAATTATCGGGCTTTATGGCATTTTTTAGTCTTTTACCATGGAATATTCTAACGGAATGATATCACGAACCCCCATTTACCGCCGCCTGGCTTCAGCAATCATCAACTCATGGCCAATCTTGTTTCACCTAAACCACGACTCACTCCTCCTTATCCTATTATTTTTAATTCTCAATCATATGATGTTCTCAGACATTATATAATTTTATCCATAAGTAAGGGGAAAACGTAATGAAGTCCATGCTGGGCAGTCGTTATGCTACAGTTTGCTTCACTGCCAGAGTCCTGGGGATGCTCACTCCATGAACTGTGGTCTATGCAGTGAGGAATGCTATGTGCATCATAAAGGAAAACGGAAGCTACTCACAACAGTGCGATGCCAAAAATTCACCAACTCTATACACTTTTTTTTTAACAACATCACGTTTTATCCTGCTGTGGCCTATGGAAAAGGCATTGCTCACACAGGATCGCTGGAAGGTTTATGTGAAATACTCATAAAAACCCTATACAACTAAAAGGAATTATTGCTTATCACCCCCGAATTATATTGCTTTTGACTTAAGATAAACAATTAGCGCCTGGACGTCTCATGGCAGTGAACCCTGTTGACCTATTTTCTTATTCCATCACTTGGTGTTTTGAATGCTCAGTTCACGGAATGAGATTATAACATCCTGAGAATTATTTTGCAGGAAATACAAAACACTAAAATAGACAGTCTTGCTGCCATAGTCACAGGTGGCATGATCAACACTGTTTTCAGCTGCTCTTCAGGTACCAAGACCCCACAGATACTTTAGAAGTCTCTGGGACCCCAAACTCTGTCCTTGCCATCTCAGCTGATAAAACCGAGCCCTGCCTGAACAATGCATTTCCTCTTCCACTGGAGCTGCTATAGACATAGTTACCTCCTATCACT